GAATAATTCAGGTAAGATGGAGCATCCTTCAATCACTGTCAATACTTGCCTAGGTCATTTTTTAAGCTGATTTCAGAAGGTGGCTCTGAGTCCATGGGAACATTGATCAATGTGTAACACACATTCTCTGCAGCAGTCATGGCTCTGGGTTACAGGAGTTCTCTCAAGGGAAGAATTATTTTCACACAACTGTCAGATAACCTAAAAACCAAGCAAACAAAGCCATTCCAAAGTTAAAAGATTTTATTAACAAACACAAAAACATTATTATAACTGACTTAATGGCTTGAAGGGATTGCTGGGTCTCTTGAGAAGCTGCATGCAAAAGCCTTCTTGTTGTAGCCCTAAAATATTCCCATGAGCACCACAAAGATGAAGAGCATGACGTTTTTCAGAGACAACAGAAAATGAACAAAATCTTTCCATTATTTTGGGCATAGTCAGGAATAACAGAAGTGTACAGGGCACCTGGCTGAAGCCAAATGGTTTCAGCAGATTCTCCATCCTGGAGTCATTCCCTGATCCTAGCTGTATATTCCCACTACCTTCCCTGCACTTCTGTGCCCCTCCAGGTGAACGACCCAAGCTGCAAAATCAGCTGAAAAACTTCAAAGGAAAAAGAAAAAACAAAAAGATAAAGTTCTGGACTCAATTAACAAGATGAATCAGTCTATGCAGGAAGCCTTGAAGATGAGCATGAGATCCAACAGAGCAGAAACCAAGGATGGGAGAAAAGATAATGTGATGGAGAGAGAAGTTTTTACCTGCCAGAGATCATTAGATCAGCTCAACTCTACTGTCTCCACTAGACACTAACAAGGAAACCAAGCCTTTTTATGATGAAAAAGGACAAGAAGGCTACAGATCTATCAAAGTTTCTGTGTGCCTGGTGGTCCAGGTAATAAAATCTGCTATTAAGCTCAGTTCTCATTCTCATGTTTGCTTTTTCCTTATATAATAGATACCTAGGATCAAATCAACCTTTTTGTTGTATCAATTTTCATTCCCATGTTTGTTTATTCTTTATATAACAGACATCTAGGACTAAATCAACCTTTTTATTCTATTTCTTAAGTAATGAAAAATGCTCAAGCTTGAGCTTACTTGGCTAATTCTGCGCTACTATACTGACAAGCACAAGCGAAGCAAACTGTTACTGTTTCTTACATGAGCAATTTTGTACTTTCTACAGAAATTGTGTCAAAATAAATCAGCTTTTATTGGCATTAACTGTCTGGAAGTCTTAGACTCCCTTTTCTCATGAAATGGACACCCAGAGAACCTCACCCTGAGCAGGGAAGTTGTCCTGAGCTGGGTTGCTACCTCTTTCCACAGAAGCAAACCATTCACATCAATCAGCAGCACAAAAACCACCCAAAAACTAACTGCAATACAAACTTTCAAGGAAACACTCCTATTTCTGTTATGAATTCTGTATTTTAAGGCCTAGATAACGTAACTTTGCTGCTTACAAATATCAACATAAACCACTCAATGATTGGATGTGGCACTTAGTGCCATGCTCTCTCTAGTTGAGGTGGTGATCAGTCAAAGGTTGGATTTGATGATCTCAGAGGTCTTTCCCAATTGTTTTCTTGCCTCAGCAGCAGCTTTTTTGCTTACTTTTCCTATGCTGCTACCCAGAACCCCTGCCTCAAAGTTCTGCAGCCAGCACCTTCACCTACAAGAACAAATCACACAGACCACAGTGTAGATCCTCGTGAAAGCAGTGCAGGTATCCTTACTCACACAAAGACCTAAGCTGCAGAAATTTCCAAAATCACAATCAAACATGTGTCTGAAGTGTGATAAATGAGTGTGAAAAGCAGCAGTGTGAAACAACTCTCCTAAAACACAGAGCTGGGAGAACCACCACCTGGATTTCCTCCTTGCAAAGCATAAAGACTTGAAATCAGTTTGATCGTTGAGAGCTCACACGGAGGCAGATGTAGGTGCTGTTTTAACTCCGCAGCAATAATATCTCTGTCACCTGGGGTGAGTCACAGAACGGTTTGGGTAGGAAGGGATCTTGAAGATGAATTAATTCCAACCCTCTGCCATGGGCAGGGACATCTTTCACTAGCCCAGGCTGCTCAGAGCCCCATCCAAATCGGCCCTGAACACTTCCTGGGATGGGGCATCCACAGCTGCTCTGGGCAACCTGTGCCAGAGCCTCGGCACTCCAGGAAATCGAAAGTTACAGAGTTTATAGAGCCCAGGAAGACACAAAGCCACGCCTGCTCGCCACCTACATCCCTGGGGAGCCTTAGGAACAGGGGCACCTAATGAACCAGAACCTTCAGAACGCACCTTTTTACTGATGCACAATTACAATGCAGAGTGTTCAAAGTGTTTACTGAAAAAACCCGACAAACTCAGCCAGCTGGGGGGTATTTCTCCCTTAATATTCCAGTTCCTACTTCCAGCCCAAACCCGGGCATTTTAAGCTATGAGGCAAAACTTCCCTGAACGCCCGAGCCCGCCTGCCATTCCGCAGGGTAAACCCCGAGACGCGGAGCCCTCCCCGCGCCACAAACCCTCCCACAAGCGCCCCGCGCCCCCGGGGCCCTGCCGGGGGTCACCGGGAAGATGCCGGCGGGGCCCTGAGGCCTCGAGCCTTGCGGCGCCCAGCGGAGAAGCGGCGCCCGCCCCCTCCCCC